ACCAAGCCTTCATTGAGCACCCAGGTCTTTGCTGGCCAAGCCTTCATTGAGCACCCAGGTCTTTGCTGGCACTCAAGATCCAAGCTGTAGCAATGGGTCACCTTTCAGAAACCTTATTCTTGCTCACTGGCGCTGAGCTAACCCAGTGTGTTAGCTACTTTTCTATTGCTGGTGAAACACCAGGGCCAAGGCGGCTTACAGGGGAAAGTGTTTAACAGCTTCTGGTGTCAGAGGGTCATCTGTGGCGTTGGAGCAGAGGCAGTGCCACAGCAACAGCCGAGAGCTCCTGTCTAACCACAGGAGCACACCAGAGACTGCCCATCTTTGGAAATCTCAACACATTCCCCCAGTGGCACCTCCTCCAACCGCTCATCACCTAGTCCTTCCAAAACAGTTCCACCAACTGGAGACCACAGAGGCAAGCCCATGAGCCTGCGGAGCCGTTCTCACTCAGAGAGACGCAGCGGCAGGTCATCCTGGGTGTGACTACCCTGTCTTGTTCCTCAGTGCTTCGTGGTTTTCAGCATCCTGTACCAAATGGCTCACTGGTCATCCAGAAAGCAAGCCTGCAGGCAGCGGGTACAGGCGTAGGCCAGGACACACCCCACACATGGGAATGCTGCATGTCCAGGGCCAGCTGTGGTGACGCAGTTAAGACCTTGCTTCAAAAATACAACTCCATGCATGCACACAACCTCAGTCCTAGTCCATTAGTGAGCAGTGTGAGCTCAGTGAGGGTTCCTGGATGCGATGGGGTGATGATCTGTCCAGAAAGGCTCTGTGTCAGTGCAGGACCCGGATGGACAGCAGTATCAGGTGCTAAGGCAGCCATGCAGAATGTCTGGCCAGCCATCATTCAGATGAGAACCAAGAGGAACTCAGAATCTGAAATCTCCAGGGTTTCAGTTATTTCAGGCAAAAATAACCAGAGATTTGTGTTGTAATTGGCTGAGCGCTCCAGGCTTGAGGCAGATTAAACCTTTGGGTTTTTTGTTTTGTTTCGTTTTGCTTTTGTTGTTGTTGTTTTAAATTCTAGAACCCCTACTTGTGGAGGAAATGTAAGCAGAGTTTTCTGAATGGGGCTCTGGAATCGCAAGAACTGATTACACAGCAGCCCCTGATTTAAACCCTTGTGAAATGCCTGAGTTCCCCATTCCTCTGCCCCCAGCCTGTCTTTTGTCCCCTCTGCTGGAACCGCTTGCAGTCTCAATGCTCCCCACTGCCCAATGAGGCTCCTGCACCCAGCACCTGTCCCTGCAGCAGTGTGGGAGACTGTTCTCGGGGCTGTAGTCGGAGCCAGCCGACTTGCCCACGGTTCGTACCTGAGAGGGGGATGAAGACAGGCTAGCTAAAGACATTAGAGGAAAAGACGGAGACACGGGATAGATGTCAGAGTTAGTTATTGCTGGACACCCCTGAGTTTACTTTTCACCATTCTTAAATACCTTAACCAAGGATTCAGTAACCACACCTTATATTGAATTTCTCGTTATCTGGCCTTGAGGGTCAAGAGTAACCACACCTCAGACCAAGTCTGTTATTTAGATAAGACAACCTAGGCTAAGATCAAACGTCCTACTGTAGCTAAGCCTTAGACCTTTAGGTCCTTACTAAGGACAGTTTTGAGTTCTCTGAACTTGAGTCAAGATGGAGTAGAGCCATCTTTATGGGCCCCGACAGCAGTGCAGGGGCAACCCTGTTCCTGGGATGTCTGTCCTCAACTGGGCTCCAGCCAGTCCTCATTTCCTTCCCTTCCCGGCCTCTGCTCTCACCCTCCCCACTCCTCCCAGTCACGGTGGTTATCCAGATCCACAGAGCTCCCTATGGTATCGTTGGAGCCTGCTTCTGCTGCCTCCAGGGAACCCTGACCGTCTTGGTGCCAGTGACCTTGTACATGAAGGCGAAATGATGTGTTTCTAGAAGAAAGTCTGAAAATGGACAGAACAATAGTCAAAGATGTAGATCCTGCCTCTGAAGATGCCCCCACCCCAACACACACAGTGCTCCTCTTGGGTATGAGTGAGGACAAGTGTGATGTTCAAGACAAATCCGGAGGACAGAAAGGAGCCAGCACTTGGCACATCTAAGTTTCCGCGCCAGCCTCGGCTAGACTGTAACAGCGAAGTCCATGAATAACAAAAAGATCCAGACAATGCTAAAGGAAGAGTTGGGTCGGTGTGTGCTAACCCCACTGTGTTCGGGATCCAACTCTCTGGCTTCAAAGTAAAACAGTTCGGCATGACATTTCCTGGAGGCAAAGCCTTACTTGTCGGATGGGTTTTGAGAATGCCACTGATGGAAATCACTATGCTGGTGTGGCAGAGACGGAACAATTGAGAACTTACACAAAACCTGACTAAGTGCAGCCCCCACCTCACGAAGCAAATAGTGTCCCCGAGCAGTTAGATGAGTTTCCACAGTCACACATAAATCAAAAGACATCACAGTTGGATGCCCTTAGTGACACTCATGGAAATAACACAGTTGGCAACAATGAAGCAGTGGTCTTTCTGAGAAGCCGGGGAGGCTGTCAAGTGACGTCCTTAGCTCTGGGGGGGGGGGAGGGGTGTGGATACTAGCGGAGGCTGTCAAGTGACGTCCTTAGCTCTGGGGGGGGGGTGTGGATACTAGCGGAGGCTGTCAAGTGAGGTCCTTAGCTCTCGGGGGGGGGGGTGTGTGGATACTAGCGGAGGCTGTCAAGTGAGGTCCTTAGCTCTCGGGGGGTGTGTGGATACTAGCGGAGGCTGTCAAGTGACGTCCTTAGCTCTCGGGGGGGGGGTGTGGATACTAGCAGAGGCTGTCAAGTGAGGTCCTTAGCTCTCGGGGGGGGTGTGGATACTAGCGGAGGCTGTCAAGTGACGTCCTTAGCTCTCGGGGGGTGTGGATACTAGCGGAGGCTGTCAAGTGACGTCCTTAGCTCTCGGGGGTGTGGATACTAGCGGAGGCTGTCAAGTGACGTCCTTAGCTCTCGGGGGGGGGGGGTGTGGATACTAGCGGAGGCTGTCAAGTGAGGTCCTTAGCTCTCGGGGGGTGTGTGGATACTAGCGGAGGCTGTCAAGTGAGGTCCTTAGCTCTCGGGGATGGCACTATATTGATACATTGCTAAAAGGTTTTACCTGATGGTCACAGGGATGTTAGGTTTAATCCAGAAATGGGGCATTAAGTGACTATTGCAGGACTGACCACAGCCCTGGATTGTTTGGATATAGATCTGTAACATTCTAGTTCTTCACAGCTCTAACCAGCCACAAAGTTTTGCAGGCTCTGTAGTGTGTGTGTGTGTGTGTGTGTGTCTGTCTGTCTGTCTGTCTGTCTGTCTGTCTTTTTTCTGGGGATTTGGACTTACTGCCAGCACCGCATTAGTGACAATGGAAAGGTAAGCTTCTCTGGTGAGAAATAAAGAGAGCCACATTCATCTGCTATCCCAGTACCTTCTTGGCAAAGGGGATCCACAGGTCATAGAAAACCTACTGAAGCACCCACTGCTGTTTTGTGTAAAAAATGCACAAGTGTGATTAAAAATCATATTGCACAATGCAACTTTTGTCTAGAAATCAATTTCTCATAGGTCAGGTACAAATATTCCATTTTTATTAACAGCAAAAAAGCATTAAATAGAAATGAAGATGAAGACCAAAGGCTGTGGAAGGAGGCGGCGGTCGAAGGAGATGCCTGTAGTAATGACTTAGAGGCCTGACGCGTAAGGGTGGCAACTCTCCTCTCCTTGCCATGCCTCGAAAGCCCTGTGTTTTTGTTTGTCCCTGTTTCTGTTCTACACCTCAAAAAGCCCTGCAGATTTTCAGGGAATGGGAGTGAGCGAGAATGGGTTAGCGCCTTGTGAAGAGAGTACCTCAGGAAGCCTGGTTCACACGGATACAGAGGAGTACCCAACAGGGACAGACTCTGGGGAACCACACAGACCTGGTCTTGGGAATGACTCACAGGTGCCCTGTGGGCCCTGCTGGTGGCACTGTGGGCTGGGAACGTGCGCACACCTTCCCTCTGAACACACCAGGCCAGCGGCCTGAGCCCTGGTCTGTCTTGGACTTGAGTGCTCACTTCATGGAACCCAGATTGTCCTGCAGCCTGTGGCAGGGCTCTGCTCTTGGTGAATTAGGGAAACTGAAAGAAGGGGTTCTGACAGGCAACCCCTGCTTCCCGGCCCTCCGCACTCAGGACAGCCATTTCCCATCTGTCTGCACTTGCTTCTCCAGTGGCGGGTGATCACCAGCCACCCCAGGGAGCAGGAGCTCCCAGGATAATTAATTTCCCTCACATTGTACAGCCACCGGCTTTTAATTTTGTACATTTGCAGGAGCCACACATTCTCTCCGTTATTAAATGCCAGCCACATTTGTTTACAAATAAAACCAAGTTAATTAAACACTGCATCTACGTTAGCAAGTGATGAGAGCAGCATGGCCTCTGCAGGCAGAGCCCTGTGTCAGCCTCCAGTTCTGTGCGCAGAGAAGAGCCTTGAAGAACATTGCAGTTGGAGCCCAGCAGCTCACTAGTTGGACACACTGCTCGAATTCACACAACACCTGGAAAATACTGAGACATCCGGCATTTTCCAGCAAGGAGGCAAAAGGCTGTCTACTATCGCAGCTCCTTCCAAGATACATTCGGCTAGTGGCCCGCAGCAGGAACCCACCCTGGGGTGCAGACATAGACTCTCAGTGCCTTGTTCCCTCTTCTTCCACAGACAGATGGGATCTTGGTTTTGTTCACGGTTGTACCCTCATAGTGCCTGTGAAAACAGGTGCACCCAGAGAGATCACATGGCAAGACTGAGAGATCTGATCCTGCCACCAAGGCCGGGATGCTGCAGGAAGAAGTTGGACTCCGGATGTAGGCTCTGTTCAGGACTTGTCCCCCGGCCTCCTTCCCCAGCCTGCTAGTGTACACGGCCCTCTGGCTACATGCTCACTCCACAGAATGAAGTGCTGTGACACCTTCATGACCTCGAGCTTCCAAGTGATGTCACAACAGGCAGGGACTGGCTTCCTTCTGTTCACCCCTCCCCCCAGCTGACTGTGAGCAGTAGACAGGAAGAGCAGTAGCCAGTTCTTGGTCCAACCAAAACGTCGTTTCTACTTAGGGTCCCGGAGGGGCAGTGGAGAGGACTTGACTCTGGAAACGATGGACAGGTTGGTGGCCACACCCGCTGCCTTGGGGCCAGGAAGAGCCCCCAAAGCTTGACCTGTTCATTCTCTGGTGCCACACCACATGTCCAGCGGATGGCCACAGAGCCACCCTGTGCAGAGGCATCCTGCCTGCAGGTGTGGACACTCTGAGACCCCTGCGTGCTGAGGTGGCCTGTCCTGTCTTCCAGACATGCATGTCCTGTAGCCCCTGTGCTGAGGTATCCTGTCTTTCAGGTGTGGACGCTGTGGGTCCCCTGTGCCGACGTGTCTCATCTTCCAGGTGTGGACACTCTGGGGCCCTCTGTTCTGGTGTATCCCATCTTCCAGGTGTGGACGCTCTGGGGCCCCCTATGCTGAGGTGTCCTGTCTTCCAGGCATATTTGATCCCTGCATCCCTGTCAGCTGCTATCATGAGATATGCCCCAGAAGTGAAGAAGTCCCCAACGCACCTCCTGAAGAAGTTTGCAGGTAATATGGAGGAGTCCGTCGTGCTGTTTTTAGGGAGGGTTTGACCTAGCTGGTGTGGTCACGGGAGGCAGGGAAGGGTGTTTCTTAATGGCCTAAGGAGCCATGTCAAAATCTTGAGGGAGGTCTTCAGTTTCATTACAGAGTAGTTCACAAGGGACCTCACATATCAGTTTAAGGAACAACGGGGAGTCACAGGGCTTTCTATCCGTTATAGTCTTCAGTTACCTGAAAATGCTTATCTCAGAAGTGGCATTTTATTTGCTCAAACACATTTTTCAACAAGGAAGCACATGTCGCACGTCGCCTACATGCCTGGTCTGTAAGCCGGCATTAGTCTGTTGACCCTTGGATGTGGGAGCCATGGAAAAAAAGTGATTGTCTTGAAGTCACACTGAGTATTCATGGTGTAATTGCATTTGCTTTAAACCAGGAGGAGACGCTTTAGAACTGAATGCTTCCCAGGAGGAACATCAGACCGCTGGGGATGGTGAGAAGGAACTGTCACCTTCCTTGCTCCGGTCGCAGTGTTCTGAGTTTTTTTTTTCTCAACTGAACATGTGTTCGTGCATTGCCGGTGTACTCAATGACAGAGAAGAAATGTGTTCATCTTTTGTTTGTCTCCCTTGGAAGGAAGGCCAGATTCCCTGAAGGGTAGCCAACTCCTACCGGGGGCTGAGCTAGCCCCCCGTAGGCCTGGAGTGTGAGGGGAGACACTGGGGCCGGGCACCTCTGCAGGTAGAAGACTCCTGAGAGGATTGTTTGTGATTTCTGATTCAGAACCAGCAAGATAAGCTGATGTTAGGCAGACTGGGGCCACAGAGAGCAGCAGAAACAGCTGGGTCAACACTGTGCTTGGCTAGGATTGAGTGCCCGCCCCCAGTCTCCCAGGGGAAAAGCAGTAACTAGAACAAAGGGTGAGAGAAGCCTGTTCTTAAGGTCCTCATGAGCAGCCCCCTTTGGTCTCTGCTTATAGCCATGAGCCTTGGGGAGCTGTCTGGATGGGGCGGGGATCAGTACCCATCCACTTCTCCAAAGGGTTCCTGGGAGCCATTGGACCTTGGCCCTGGATACATAAGCCTGGTTTGGGATACCTCGCCCCAGGTGTGTGAGGTCAGGTGAGAGGTGACCTCAGGATACAGGGAAGCTGTTTTACGGGCAAGAAGGCTGTCTTAGGAGTGCATGCAGGTATACCTGTGAACTGTGGGGCCACATCCCAGGGGCAGGAAATGATCTCAACTTGCGGCCCTGCTTTCCTGGTATTCCTAGCTGTGGACCTGTCTTCTGGCATTCCAGCTTGGACCAAGATACATGGATAGGACAGTGTTGATTCCCAGTGTCCCTTTGAGATGGTGCAGGGGGCTGCCTCAGGCTTGTTGAGAAACTGTAAAGTGACAAAGTTAGGTTGTGTGTCCACGATGTCAGAGTTTCAGAAATAATACGAAATTCACCAAGTTCAACAGTTTCGTTGTCAGACCTTGTCTGGCACTCTCGCGTTCCTGGCCAGCCGAACACAGGTTCTTAAATTTCTTACAGGTCACACTTAACAGGTTAAACACACCTCTTCGTGTGTGTGTGTGTGTGTGTGTGTGTGTGTGTGTGTGTGTGTGTGTTACAGAATGGCTAAAATGGGCTCAGGAGAGTTCAAGGAATTTCAGAGAGGGATGAGGGTGAATCGGGCATGCTGACAGAGGTGCAGAGTCGGGGGGTGGGGTGGGGTGGGGTGGCTAAGATGGTGAGCAGTGGGGTTGGAATGTGTCTGCTATATAGTCAAACCACAGAACCAGGGTTGAGCCGCAGGATTAAGGTATGGTGGCTGCTGGAGCGGTGACGGCTTAGACCGAACAGTGAGCTGACAATCGGATAGGTGGCCATAGTGGTGGGGCCCAGCTGAGCTGAAGCCCCCTGGGACAGTTGGGACAACAGGCCAGTGGCTCTGTTGCTGCCACAGTGTGAGTTCTTTTCCTTCAGTGGCCCAGGTGAGGGAGTCACACCCTTTCCTTGGCTCTGTCCAGTAAGTCCTTGGGCATGGATTTCCTGGTATGATTTTAATGTGCCCATGGCCCCTCTTCATTCTAGTTTCTCTCCATAGCCTGTGGACACAGTGCCCCAGACACACCTGGTCTTCTCTTGTTCATTTTGAAAAATGTATGGAATGATGCCCCTTCCTACTCAGGGATAAGTCAGTCTGTGCCACAGATGGCCCTGGTCATCTGTCCACCCAGGTTCAGAGCTGTCCCTCATCCTCCACATGGAGTCCCTTGGGGCAGGGCCAAGCCTGAAGAACTGCGGCTTTACATAGCGGAGTCACCCGGAGTAGGACAGGGTCTGATCTCCTCATAGCGGGAGGCAGAGAAGCCGTGGTGGGACATGTGGCAGCGCTGAGCCCCGGCTGATGCAGGCCCTGTTAGCTTTCTTCAGATCCCCACACGGCCTGGGGTCCTGCTGGCCTCCCGGGGGTCCACGGGTGCCAAATGGCTCCTAGGCCAAGTGTGCACAGTTTACCCAGCTCTTTCCTACCCTGATCACTAGATCTCTACATATGGGTTACCTAGTGGATACTAAGGGTTAAGGAGGCTGTAGCAGACTTGCCAGAAGTATCTGACCTGGCCGGTAGAAATATGAATAACAAACCCAAGGGAGCCGGACCCCCGTGGGTCACAAGCTTGAGAGTCGAACTGTGGAGTTGGGTCTGGCTACGGAGGCAAAACGGGAGGGCCAGGTTCAGTTGAGAGACTGGCCACGGACTAGACACCAAGTCTGCGTGACACCAATTGAGTAGGCCGCATCAACAGTGAGGACAGAAGCTGGCAGGTGGGGAGTTCTCTGCCTGTCAGCCCTTGGCTCACACACTAATGTCACACGCTAGTGTCACACACTAATGTCACACACGAGTGTCACACACTAATGTCACACGCTAGTGTCACACGCTAGCATCACACGCTAATGTCACACGCTAGCGTCACACACTAATGTCACACACTAACGTCACACACTAATGTCACACACTAGTGTCACACTAATGTCACACACTAGTGTCATACACTAATGTCACACACTAATGTCACACTAATGTCACACACTAACGTCACACACTAATGTCACACACTAACGTCACACACTAATGTCACACACTAGTGTCACACTAATGTCACACACTAGTGTCATACACTAATGTCACACACTAATGTCACACTAATGTCACACACTAACGTCACACACTAATGTCACACACTAGTGTCACACTAATGTCACACACTAGTGTCACACACTAGTGTCATACACTAATGTCACACTAATGTCACACACTAGTGTCACACGCTAGCGTCACACGCTAGCGTCACACGCTAGCGTCACACGCTAATGTCACACACGAATGTCACACACTAACGTCACACACTAATGTCACACACTAACGTCACACACTAATGTCACACGCTAGTGTCACACTAATGTCACACGCTAGTGTCACACTAATGTCACACACTAGTGTCATACACTAATGTCACACACTAATGTCACACTAATGTCACACACTAGTGTCACACGCTAATGTCACACACTAATGTCACACACTAATGTCACACGCTAATATCACACACTAATGTCACACACTAGTGTCAGTTGACAGGCCAGTGGGGCCCCTGTCATTGGAGTGCGGGGCGTCCACCTCATTACGGGGCACAGGGGGGACGTTAACCCTTGCTTGGGTCTGGTGTATCTCTAAGTTCTTGGGCCTAGTTTCTGTAACAAGATATGTCTGTCTGCCCCTACAACCTCAAAAGCACCCCCAGTGAGTGGCAAGGGGGTCTGAGAAACCCGCTTTATACAGTGTGGGGTAACTTAGAGGAGACCACAAATTGATCAACACACCCTCACCTCTGGGGGGGGGGCTCTGTGTACCTTCCTGCTGCCCTGCTGGAAGTCTGAGTTCCCTCCTCTTCCCCAGACACACATGTTCTGTCCTCAGGTGACAGGTAGCCCACAGCTATACCATGACATTGTGAGCCTTGTGATTACCCACTGTGCTCCGGGCTCTCTGCATGCTTGGTGGCGGGGTCCTGTACTGTCCAACAAGGTTCTATAGGCTTTGTGCACGGTTGTTCAAAATAGGGAGACTGGGGATCAACTTCTCTGGGCCAGGCCAGGCAGAGGCTACCCCCAGGGAGGGGGCGTTGAGCCCTGGCCAGAGGCAAGCTACAGTAACAGGTTAGTCCTCTCAGACTTAGCCTTTGTCTCCCTGTTAAGTCTAACCTCTTACTGCCCGGGAGTTGATCTGCATATTCAATTAATGTGGCTTCCTTTAGTGTTGCCATGACAATGGAATTGTTTCTGTAAATGGCAAAGCAGTGTGCTGCCGCCTCTGTGCACCTTCTTAGAAGCCAGTGGCAAGGATAGTGGGCCCAAATGACTTGTGCTGTCACTTCCAGAGTGACTGGACCCAGGGAGACAGTATCCACACACGGGACATGATGACCCTCCATGACCCCAGTTCACCAAGAAGACGTCCCAGGGGAAGTGGACTCTGGCACCTGTGTCTGTAAGGTCTAACCAAGGAGACGCCATGGTGATAGCATTTTGTATGTGTTCATGCATGCACATGTGAGCACATGTGTGCACAGACACTGTGAGGCAGCCTGTGCCCGGGCCTCACCAGTTCAGCTGGACTAGCTGGCTAGTTAGCCCCAGGATCCTCCTGTCTCTGCTTCCCTGGTGCAGGCTAGCCCCTCTGGCCCTGGCATAATGATGTACCCCTGCCTGGATCATGCAGAGACCTCCGTGTGGCTTGTTTACCATTTGGTCCAGGCAGCTGCCTCTCCGGTGAAGCACCAAGTAGGATCCGCTTGTGACGGGGCAGCCCCTCCCCCTCCGCTTCCCTTTCTTCAATCTCCTTTAGTACAGGCCGCTGCTTTCCCTTCAGGGGGCCGGGGCCAGAATGTGTACTCAACTCTCCGTCTTTTGTGGTTTTCTTTAAGGTTAGTTTAGTTTTAGTTGTGTGTGTGTGTGTGTGTGTCTGTGTATATGTGTGTCTGTGTCTATGTGTGTGTCTGTGTGTGTGTCTGTGTGTGTCTTGTGTGTCTATCTGTGTGTCTGTCTGTGTGTGTGTGTCTGTGTGTGTGTGTGTCTGTCTGTGTGTATGTGACTATGTGATGTGAGTGCAGTGTCCACAGAGGCCAGAGGTGTCAGATCCTCTGCAGCTGGACTTAGAGGTGGTTATGGTCTGTCCCACCTGAGTGCTGGGAACCTAATTGGGCTCCAATGAGAGTGGGCTGCACCGTTAACCTCTAGGACCCCTCCAGCCCCAGTGTGTGTTTCTTTAGACTCGGCTTCTAAATCCAGGAGCAGTCCTCAACCCACACCGCTAGGTCAGCTCGTGGTGTGGCTCAGTGTGCATGTGGCACCTGGTGACCTGGCCACGCAGTGTCTTGTGTTAGTGACTTGGCTCTGCTGGGCTGTCTTATCATCCTGACCATCAGAGGCCCTGCATTGTGCTCAGTAATTAACTTTATACTGTTTTGTTCAGAAATTCATATCCTAGTTTCAAAGCCAGATTTGCATGATGAACAATGGGACTAAGGACACCTCAATTCAGTCTGGCAGACTCCTACCCCACCCACCCCACCCCACCTAACCCCTCCCTACCCTCCCCACCCCACCCCACCCCTCCCCACCCCACCCCACCCACCCCACCCCACCCACCCCTACCCACCCCACCCACCCTAACCACCCCACCTAACCCCTCCACACCTAACCCCTCCCTACCCCACCCACCCCACCTCACACCACCCCACCCACCCCACCCCACCCCACCCACCCTACTTCACACCACCCACCCCACCTCACCCACCACACCCCACCCATCCCATCCCACCCCACCCCACCCCACCCACCCCACCCACCTCACCCACTCCACCTCACCCCACCCCGCCCCACCCCACCCATCCCCACCCCACCCCACTCATCCCACCCTATCCAACCCCACCCCATCCCACCCAACCTCACTCCACCTCACCCTACCCCACCCCACCTCACCCCACCCCACCTGACCATCAGAGGCCCTGCATTGTGCTCAGTAATTATCAACCCACCCCACCCCACCCCACCTCACCTCACCCCACCCCACCTCACCCCATCCCGCCCCACCTCACCCCACCCCGCCCTACCCCATCCCGCCCCACCCCACCCCACCTCACCCCACCTCACCCCACCCCACCCCACCTCACCCCACCCCACCCTGCTTTCTGCCAAGTCAGTGCTGTGTCTGTGCCTTGCAGTGTGTGACATCCCTCTCTATGACATCTGTGACTACAACATCACCAGGGACCGGTGCAAAGACCTCGGGTGCTGTTTCTACAAGGGGGTCTGCTACGAGAAAGCTGTTCCCGGTGAGTACGGGGAGACCACACGCCTGACCCTGTCCCGTCACTGTCCACTATGTGTGCCGTGCCCCATCCACCCGCATGGAAAGTCACCGGCCGCTCCCAGGCTCACGCAGCTCCGTTCCGCTCTGGGCTGAGTGTCAGGGGCTTCTCACACTCTTTCCTGCAAAGGGTGGGCTCTCGAAGGCTGGGTGAGAGACTGTCCTTACCAAGACAGCCGTGGGACAAAGGGTGATGCTGACCGCCGCCCGCTGAGGGTCGGATTGGCAAGGCTGTGGTGTCTAGCCGAGGAATGCGGGGACAGCTGAGAGTCACTGTGTGACTGGGTTTCTCCAGATCACTTAGGACCACGCGGCAGCACAGCACAGTCCTCAGACCAGGCGTAGACTGTCTTCTCACTGTGTGCTTCCGGAAGAGCCTTTTCTAGACACACCAGGTATCCATGGAGAACAGGAAGGAACTGGAATCCTAGAGAACCAGGTTGCAGCTGTGAAAAGTTGTGTACATCCTACCTCTTGGATATATTCTTATATGTCAGGATTTTGACCTTCTGGACTTTGAGAATTTTTTCTCATAACATTTTTAAAATTTTTATTTTTAAATTTATATTTAAATTAGAAACAAAGAATTTTCTAAAGTAATGTCTCCAGACCTTCATTAATGCTCGCAGGGTCCCACCTCTCGGTCTCTCTCCTCCTACAGGTAGACTGAGTCCCTTGAGACAGGGCTGTGTCCCTTGGGTACAAGACTTGGGAAGTCAGGGGCCTGACAGATATGCTGCCCAGAACCAGCTCCTCACAGAAAAGGCTGGAGAGAGGCAGACAGGGCCACACTCACATCAATGTCATGGGTACTTGAGTGTTTAGGCAGATGACAGTGAAACCCAACTTCTCCCAAAGAGGCCACAAAGAACATCACCATTAGCAACAAGGACTTCCTGCTGATAGCATCTTTTTTTATGACTTAGGAGGGCTCAGGAGGACCCTCGTCACTCCGGGGAGGATGGACCCTAACACATCATCTAGCAGAAGCAACCAGAGCTGATATCGTTTTTATTACAGACAAAATGGTCATTCTATAAAATGCGTTTGTTTTTTTTTCAGTGCTGGCAATGGATCTTCATGTATGCTAAGCTAATGACCTGTCTAAAATTCACCATTAAAAAATGCAATTCAGTAGGTTTTTAGCATGTTCACAAACTTGTACAGCTTCCAACACTACCTAACCTGAGACCATCTCCTCACACCTGTTAGCATCCATTTCCTCATGCTTCCTGGGCCCCCCGATCTGTCTGTGGATTTACCTGTTCCGAATACTTCATATAAGAGGAGTCACACAATGTGTGGTTCTTTACTGGTATGACTTTCCCTCTCTCTCTGTGGTGTGTGTGTGTATGTGTGCGTGCCTTTGTCTGTGTACATGCACAACTGTGGATGTGCCTGTGGAGGCTAGATGTCAATGTTGTTCTCTCTAATGTACATACATAATAAATACATACATACATACATATTTTGTCTCTGTGTGTGCATACATGCATACACATGGGTACCCATGGAAGCCAGTAGAGGGTGTTGGCCCCTGAACTGGTGTTAACAGGTGGTTGTGAGCCGCCTGATCTGGGTGCTGGGAACCATTTTCTCTAAGTACTATGCACTCACTTTTAAAATATTCTTTTGATATTTTGAGATTAAAATATAATCGTAATGTTTTCCCCCTTTCCTCCTTCCAAGCCTTCTGTACTGCGTTGCTCTTTCTCAAATCCATGACCTCTTTTTCTTCATTTATTATCACACACACACACACACACACTATTATTACACACATGCATGTGCACACACATTCCTAAATATATAAATATAATTGCTCAGTCCACATAAGGTCACTTATATGAGTATGACTTCAGGGATGACCGTTTTGTATTAATCAGTTTGGGGTTCGTCCCTGGGCAAGGCTGTTTCTCTGGCTGCCAGCATTTCCATTCCTTAGCTACTATAGTTCTTTGTCTAGGGCTGGAGCCCATGAGACCTGTCCTTTCATATCAGTGTGTCTATCGCTAATGTCTCTGCTCAGATCATGTTTAGGCAGCCATGTTGGTGAGATTCATCCCTGTAGTTTTGACATTTCTAGGAGACATGGTGTCACAGCAACAAGTCCTGTTCCTCTCGCTGTCCCCTTTCCTGCTATGATCTCTAAGCCTTGGGTGGAGGAGTTGTGGTGTAGATGTGTCACGTGGTCACTTGCTCTTGCGTTTTGATTGGCTGTGGGTTTCTGCCAGCAAGCACTCTGAACTGTTGAGCCATCTCTCCAGCCCTGCCACTGCGTGCTCTGAGACAGTCTTTTCTCAGTGAACCTGGAGCTCGCTGATTGGCTAGATTGACTGGCCAGTGGAGCTCCAGGGTTCTTCCTACCTCCCCTTCAAACTTTACAGCAGTGCTGGCTAGTTCTGTGTCAACTTGACACAAGCTAGAGTCATCTCAGAGGAGGGAAACTCAACTGAGGGATGCGTGTGTAAGATTGGGCTGTGGGCAAGCCTGGAGGGCATTTTATTAGTGACTGATGGGAGAGGGCCCTGCCCATGGTAGGTGGTGCCATCCTTGGACTGGTGTCCTGGGTTCTTTAAGAAAGCAGGCTGAGCAAGCCATAAGGAACAAGCCAGTAAGCAGCATCCTCCATGCCCTACGCATCAGCTCCTGCCTGCAGATTCCTTAGTGCTTTCAAAAGCGTTATATGAAAGCGTGGGTGAAATTAACCCTTTCCTCCCCAAGTTGCTTTTGGTCACAGCCATAGAAACCCTAACAAACACAGTATTGGCATTGGTTTTGCAGACATAGAAAATAAAAGATTGAGGAGGTCGTGAAATCTTACCCCGTGGTTTCAGAGAACAGATGAGGCCATGCAGTGTGGCAGGGTTGCAATCCACGCAGGATGTTCCTGGGAGGCCACTGTGGGAGACTGTAAATGTGAAGCCTGAGTAGCGGTGGATGCCCTAGGACATTGGAGATGCCAGGAATTATGGGACAAAGGCCACAAGGAAAGCTGCAAGCATGGAGTAGAACCAGCCTAAAAGAGAAGCTATGTGTGTTTTGGGTGGCGTAGCTGGAGGGTAAGTCCATCTAAGTTTCCTAGAACCAGACATTTCTTTGTGAGTCCCAGCTGCTGCACATGGAGTCACAGGGTTTGGTGTCTGCCCTGCTGGAATCTCATCTTGGTTGGGCCTAGTCATTTCCTGATATCTGGATTCTTCCATTTTGGAATGGATGGGTTTATTCTATGCTGTTGTATGTTGGAAGTGTGTGACTTGATTTTTATTGTATAGGAACTCACAGTTAAAAGATTTCCTCGAGTCTCAGATGAGATGTGGATTTTAGACTTTAAACTGTTGTAATCGTTGGACCGTGGGGCCTTTTGTAGTTGGATTGTGTTTTGCATTCTGAGATGAACCTGAGACTTAAGTGATGTGTCACAAGCATTATTGTGACAGTCTGTCTCAGCTGTCAACTTGATGAGCTCTCGAGTCATCTGGAAGATGGCATTTGGGTGTGCCTATAGGGATCATCTTCATTATGTTAATTACAACGGGAAGACTTGCCCACTGTGGGCGGCACTGTTCCCTACGGTGGGGTCCTGGGCTGTGTAACGAGGCAGAGCTGAGCTGAGCGCAGTGTTCACCACTTCCTGCTTCCTGGATGCCGGTGCAGCGTGGCCAGCCTCTGGCTTCTTGACTCCGCACCATGGCACACGGCAGCCTTGAGCTGTGAGCTGAAATAAACCATTCCTTCCATAAGTTGCTGTTGCCAGAGTGTTTTTAACACTGAACAGGAAAGCGACTAAGAGCACTTCTGCCAATGAGACTGTCTGGAAAATTCTACATTCAGAGCCCCTCAGAGGCCGGAGAAATGAGCATCCAATGTAAGAAGTGATTTCAGGGGTTTCCATAGGAGCGCGTGGGGGCACACTCTGTTTCTAGTCCGAGCCAAGAGCTGGAGTAATTATCTCAATTGCTACATACCCCAGCGAAATGGGGCCCCAGCCGTGGGGCATGCGGAGTGGATCCGTCAAGGCAGATCCCTTTAGGGGCGTGCCCAACTGTCACTGCCTGTTTCCATCTGCCACGTCCTCTGTTTTCCAGCAGACTCTGATGAAGGTACTGGCGGTTTTGTGAATGTCCTGCGTGCGCCATTGCCAGTCATTCACACAAGGACAGGCCCTGGTCCCCGTAGAGTCCCAGCTGTGCGTCTCCTTCAGGAATCCAGAAAACAGCGCAGGCTCTCAGGGGCTTCTGTTTGGGAGGGGGCCATGGCACTTTCTCGTGGCAACAGAGATGGACGTTCTGTCCATCTTTCCCTGCCTAGTAAATGAGTGTGTGGGCTCCGCTCTTTCTCAGCTCTGACATCTTCCAAGTTGAGAGGTGGGGCCATCTGTAGGAAGAGTCTGGGCAGCGAGCCCTGTACTCGGGTTCTCACTGCGCCCTCAAATTATTTTTCATTTCTTTGACATCTTTCTCATTCAAGGCAGCAAATGAACCTCTGTGCTGTGTAAGTTGTAGGATTCAGTGACAGGGTATTATGAGTTCTTTGTGCATATAATTCCATGTTATGAAAACCTTTCACCAACTTCTTAAATAGGCTGGTTTGAAGTGCACATTGTGTTATGGCATAATCTGTATTATTAAGAATATGAACTTGGGGAGCTAGCATTAGATCTCTCAGAAAGAAGAGGGAATAGGACGGGAAGCCGTGCCTTCAATCTTCAGTCTTGATTTAGGGCACATTGCGTAATGTGTCATTTTTTCCAAGTATTTGACTTCAGTTTCTTCATGGGACTTGCTGAGACGATTTCAAAACTTTGGTTAATTGTGCTGGGGAGACGTTACTAAGCTGTTCTCTCGGGAAAATAACCATTTCCTCCGTTCTCGCTGTCTGGGGAGAGCAGTCACAATACGTGGCTTCTAACAAGTCACGCGTGTGGTTTCTCACAGCCGGATGCTGTGCACAGGGACTCGCAGG